TCTTTGTGGATAATACCTTTGCTATCAAAGAATGTGATGAACATTGTCTTGATTTTTGATGGAACTTTTCGTACTTTTTTTGCTTGTGGTGAATTTTTTGACTTCCATTCCGCACTTTGACGCTTAGTTTCTAGATCATATTGAAAGCACCATGTTTCATCACCCGTAACAATTGATTTTAGGAAGTTTGGATTATTTTCTGCGGCTGCAATGATGTCTCTGGAATAATTGATTCTCGCTGATTTTTGATCGCTTCTTAATGTGTGTGGAACAAACTTCGCACAAACCTTCGTTTTACCCAAATCTTTATGTAATATGGTTCGAATCGTTTCTCTACTGATATTTAAAGCCTCCTCCATCATTTTTAGTGATGCATTGCGATCGTTTGCAACAAAATCACGTACTTTTTCGATCATTTCGGGTGTTCGAATCAAAATTGGCCGTCCTGATTTTTTGTCATCTTCAAGGGTCTCTCTGCCTTCCAAAAAACGCTTATGCCACTCAAAAATAGCTATACGACCTAGACATTGACTGCCGTAAACTTGTTGCAGCGATCGGAATGTTTCTGATGCACTTTTACCAAGTTTTGCGTTAAATTTCACTGCTCTTTGTTCCATATTAAAATTTCTACCTCGACCAAAATCTTGTTTAACATGAACTGTCATATCTTCGTTATAAGTCAACCAAAATGAATGAAACTTTGACAGATGATAGCAAAATGTTCAACCTTTAAAATGCATGTTTGAACACACAGATGTTGCCATTGGTTGCTGAGATGTGGTTCGTGTTCGGGAACATATTTGTCCACTGTGTATAACGCACGACAGAGAAGAGAAACTCTGTTTCTTTGTAGTTTGACTAAAGATTTTACTTCAAATTTTACAATCACAAATTCAGTACACATAAATAATTATCGCAGAATATTCGATATAATCACCCTTTTCCGAATTATCTTAGTAATAGAAGTAATAGAATCGCAGTGATTTTCTCGGCGGGTCTCGAAGGAATCTTCCTTACAACGGTTTTACTTGGCGGTTTTTCACGGCGGTTTTCGACACGATATAATAGCGAGACTCTGAACACTAAGAGTATATTGCCTTCGTGACCTGGGCTCTCTTTTTGATAAAATCCAATAGAATTTTTCCACAATTGTAATTTTTACATGGCATTTGTTGTATAAAATTGATTGGCGCCTCGGATTCTTTTCTAACGACGTTCGACGTAACAGTCATGCGCGACAGAAAATCCGCGCGTAGGATTGGTGGCTGCGCGTGACGTGTTCGTGGAGCGCTGCGCTCGCGCGCTTGATTGAATTGTTCTCGAACCTTCGATGGTCCGTTGCCGTTGCTGTGTGTATGTAACGAATTAATTTGAAATGAAAAAAAAACCGACAAATTGGTAGCTTTAGCGAGAATTAAGATCATGCTAGAGATGAATTTATAAACTCATTTCATGCATGCGTCTAACAATAATTACTGTTAATCAAACGAAAGAATTATTGCTTTTTTACGAATTAACGATCTCAAACAACCTAAATTAGTTAAAAAAGCGAAACTCATAAGAAGTAATTATTAGTAAATTCATAAAAGGACCGCGGAATAGAGAATGCATCATTGAAATAATCAATCAGCACTATTCGGAATAACGCAAAATAACGCTGATTGGTTGTTTCAATGATGCATTCTCTATTCCGCAGGTCTTTTTTGCACCGTGTGATTTCACCTTGAAATCGACACACGTGTTTAATTGGGAGTGCAAGAAACTCGCATTTTCGGCATCCTTGTGCATCCTGCTACCACTGAACGAGTTTTTGATGCGCACTCAGTGGCCTAGTTTCTACCGGATTTAATCCGGATCAGAATGTAAGGGTGAAATCACACAGTGCGGAATAGGACTGCGGAATAAAAAATGCATCATTAAAACTACTCAGCGCTATTCCGCATTTGAAGTTGCGAAATAGCGAGTGCGTCATTGTTCTTGTAATAAACCGTCATATTTTGAGAGGTTAAAATAATCTGATGCTGATTGATATGATGGAATTGCTTAATGTTGAGACGAATGAAGCAAAAAGACAAAATCTGAGTGCATAAATATAGATACCAAGATCAAAAAAACGATGTATTACGTGCGATTTCAGTGTGCTCTTTTCCACACTTTTCCATCACGCCAGTTTTGTGTGCTATGTTCACACGATGCAGAAAAATGATAGTAAATGCGTTAAAGCAGCTCAAAAAATTATTATGAGATTGTAAATATTAATTGTAAAACATTAAATACTACACTAGTGATGATTGTTTTTACAATTTGAAAAATTATATTTTATTTTAATAAGCAAATTATTAACATAAAGTTAATAGTTTTTAAATTATATGCTTGATACATCTTTGATGCATTATGTAAACATAGCACACAAAACTTGCGTGATGGAAAAGTGCGGAATAGCGCTGATTGGTTGCTTTAATGACGCATTCTGTATTCCGCAGTCCTCTTCCGAACCGTGCGATCACCCTAAGGACCAACCTACTATAGTCGAACATTCCCCTGTCGTTTGATTATAATAAGGGGAATGCTCGACTATAGTTGGTTGATTCTTATATTCTGATCCAGATTAAATCCTCAGTGGAAACTAGGCCAGTGTTTTCTTATATAATATGTGCTCAATGCGACCCAGTGAAAACTGCTTTCAGTGAGTGAATCATGTGGTGCCATGTGGTTACTGAATAAGTAATAATTCAAATATTTCATCTAATTTCTAATAAAGCGTATAATGCCGAAAGTTCGTACACAAGTTACTTCTCGTGTCCACATGGAAGTGGCGAGACAAGGTATATATTCATAAAAATATTAGTAATTGTTAAGTTTACTTTCCTAATCTCCAATGTTAATAAAATTAGGCTCATTCGATTTTTGCACAAAATGAACGAATCTGGCAAAAGAAAGTATCCCGTGAATCGAGATATTAATTGTTAAAATTAACAGATATTCATGTTAGAAAATCTGGTTTCTAATTAGTTAGAATAACCCCTCCCCCTCTTCCACACCACCTAAAATATTATTTTCTATAAAAATTGTTTTTAAAATAGATAATTTATGTTTTCAAAGCAAAGAATGATAATTCTTCAGAAGAGCTTCCTCACCTCCGATTTTGATAAAATTCTTATTTGAGTGTTTTTGCGTAAAATGAAAGAATCTGGCAGAAAAAAGTCTAGGACTGCCCTGCGAAGCGAGATATTGAGCATTAAAGTTGACAATTGAGGTTAGGAAATCTGTCATGTGGGGTGTATAGACAGTAGCGTAGCCATCTCGAACAAAACAAATATCATATCCTACTCACTTGGGACCTAACTGCCTAGAAGTTACAGCCTAGATAATGTCCGCTTGAAATATTTCTAACTCATGAAGACAATGGGGTGTGAAAAACTTTTTAAAGCAATTTTTTTACTGTCTAGGCTGCAACATATGTTGCAACTAATGTTCTTATGTCTCTATATATACCATTGATGTAACAGATTTCCTAATCTGAATAATCGTCCATCCGAGAGACACTTGAAAAAAAATTAACGGTTAATATTAGGTGTTTGAATAAGTTTTCATCGTTTTCTAAGAGATGTCACGAGTACTATATATTATACATAGAATTCCAGTGGCAATTTATTGTATTTAAGAGTATTATACAGTATACACAAGTTTCATATTTCGTATATGACATTTGATGGACGTAAACAACATTTTTGTCGTTACATTGAAAACATCGACTTTTGTGCCAACAAAACAGCATTTACAAAAAATTTTACTGTGTTTTACTACTTGTTTATGATTTATAAGAAAAGTGCAAATAAAAGTTATCGTTTGCTTGTGGAGATGTATGGGGAGTATGCTCCATCCCCAAAAGAGTGGTTTTCAACGCTTTAGAAGTGATGATTTCGATAAAAGATAAAGGACGTGAAAATGCACTGAAAAATTGAAAAATGAAGAACTGGAAACATTACTTAATCAAGATCCATGTCAAAAAGAAAAAAGAATTGTTGCTGCCGAAAGAATTATTAGAAGCATTAAATGTTGATTAATCAACTGTTAGCAAATGTTTGCAAAATTTTGCAAAAAAAACAGCAGAAACTTATTCAAACGCCCAATATCTTGATCCACGGAGTAGAATAATATTTTTTTTCCACATTCGTTTATTTAGTGTAAAAACGCGTCGAATGAGCCTAATTTTATTCAACATTAGAGGTAAAGAGTCTAAATTCAACAATTATCAAAATTGTATGTATCTATATAAATTAATACTAGAGGTCTGTTTTTTTTTTAGCTAAAGTTCTTGCACGATTCATCTTTCTTTCTTTTCTCTCCACGTTGGAGAGAAAGAAGTTCAGTTAAAAAGAACAGGCCTAAAGACTAATATTTATATTATGTGATAAATTTTTGTAAGAAACATATTTGTTTCTTGTAGGAATTTTATTTAATAAGGATAAAGGTCAGCATATACTGAAAAACCCTTTAATTATTCAAAGTATGGTTGAAAAAGCTGCACTTAGGCCGACTGATGTTGTATTGGAGATAGGTCCTGGTACAGGCAATATGACTGTAAAAATGCTTGAAAAAGCAAAAAAAGTAGTAGCGTGCGAAATTGATCCAAGAATGATAGCAGAATTACAAAAGCGTGTTCAAGGAACTATACATCAATCAAAGTTACAAATAGTGTATGGAGATGTATTAAAATCAGATCTACCATTTTTTGATTTGTGCGTTGCTAACATCCCTTATCAGATATCATCACCATTAGTATTTAAGTTACTTTCACACAGACCACTTTTCAGGTAATTACATATTTATAAAAAATATTTTGATATAGATCTTTTAGCCCAGGAAAACCGGAGTTAAAAAGAAAAAAATTGCTGCAAGCTGAATTTTTGCATAGAGGTCTGTAATAGTGTTGTTTTTAATATATAAAAATTTATCTTCTATGAGGGCATGCCTGGCCATGAAGCCATCTTAAAAAAATGTTGCATAAAATCAACAGCCAGGTTTTCTGCCAGGTTTTTTTTTGCAAATATCTCAACTATTGTATGGAAATTAATGTTCAGTTCGAAATTAAAGCTGATAAAATTTCCCACAATTTTATTTTTTAATGGATCTCGTGCGACCAACAATTCCCGAGATAGATTTTTTTTAAAGGATATCTTATTTTCGTGAATGTTACGTACAGTAATCGAAAAAATCGCTTTTTATGGCCCTCGATTTTGGAACTGAACTGTGTCCCAAATTTTATATTGAGACATTAATTACAGAGAAGTTTGAAGTTGAGGTGACAGTTATTATCAGAGCTGAGAGGGGTAGAATCAAAGTCCATTCTCGAATTATCATGGATCTGCGAGATCCGTTATTTTAAGAAGGTTGATCCAGCCGGATGTATATCAATTGCCCATATCGCTAACTGATTAATTTGAAATAATATAATTTCATTAAAACAGTTGAAAATTACTACGAACTGGCCGATATGAGTGATGTGTGCAATTGAACTGTGTACAAGTGCAACCACTTCCAATGAAGACAAGATTAACTGAATATCATACTTATTCTGATGATTTTGTAAATTAATTTGTTTTGAATGTAAAAAAAAAACGAATTTTCGTAATACGTGTCTCTCCAGCTATGATAACAATTGCCATCTCAACCTGAAACTTCTTTGCAATTCATATCTCATTGTATCATTTAGCACACAGTTCAGTCCAAAAAAATTGAGAGCGAAAAAAACCACCTTTTTTCAATCACTCTTTGTTGTATTTTCTCAAATATCTCAAATTTTTTTCTGCATCTACGTACAAAACACATATGACAAAATCGAAAAAGTATTTAATTATTTACTGATTTTTTATTGAATATCATACGACTAGATTGCTAGTTCCAGAGATATTTTTTTTAGACATTTTGATTTGCGATTATGAAGTTGAGAACATTTCCTCGTACATGTATCGGAAATATCTTATATACAGTTACTCCTACAAAAAAAATAGTTCTTATCAAAATGAAAGATTAAATTTTCTACATTTTGATTTTTTAATGATTTGTATACAGTTAATAATAATTACTAAGATACAGCTGAAAAATGTTTATTATATGTGTTTCCGAGTACATGTTTGTAAATAACTTATTTCTGACTTATCTGAGGCGAAAAATGTATAGAAATTATGCGGAAACTTATAAAATTATCTTTAAAATGAGATTTTTTTTAAACCTCGTCCGATGAATAATTTCCAAGATACAGTCTTTGGAAGATGTAATGCGCTGATTTTATGAAAAAAAATCGAAATTTTTGTATAAACAAACATATGTAATAACGATAGAAAAATCAATATCCACATTATTCTGTTAGTTTATACAGGGTGTGTCATCAAAATCCGGACAAATTTCAATTTAAATGTTTTCTGCTATATTGTGCCTCCGCCAGAAGTTGTTAGTGTCCGAAAAAACCTGATGCTTCTAATAAATAGTCATATTCTCAAAATGGCCGCGATGTTGAAACCAAGTGCGGAGTATCATCGAAGACCTTTGCGCTGAGCGCTCAGCAACGGAAATAATTCGATTCTTTGGATATCCGAGATCAATCGTTTATGACGTTGTGGCAAAATATTGGGTCATCTAAAAAGTATCTGCGGTACTTTGTCATTAGATATATGACCATCAACACACATCTAGTGACAAAAACCGCGGATACTTTTTAGATAACCCAATATATTTAAAATAATTCAACAAAGATTCCAGTATGCCAGCAAGGAAGAGTCACTCGAAAGAACGCACCGCGAGGACCCTCGCAGTCGTTGAAAGGACTCAAGCACTGATTTCGGATGACCCAGGGCAATTGTTACGAAATTAGCATCGATTGTTGGTGTAAGCGAGTCAACAATGCGTCAAATTGCCGAGGAGGACCTTCGATACAAATCGTACACATTAAAGATACGACAGATGCTGCCAGGACAAGCCGAATTGCTCGTCTCGACTCCCATTCTGGTTTCCCAACAGCCCAGATTTAAATCTCTTGGACTACTACGTATGGAGCGTAGTTGAAAGGGTCACAAACAAGCCTCAGCGTCCTAATGTGACGTCATTAAGGATCGTTATTGAGGCAGCATTCGTCGGCATGGACAGCGCTATGTTACAGCGTGCGTGTGAACGAGAATAGAGACCATTCAAGCTAATGGGGGATATATCGAATAATTGTACTCTACAGGGATCCCCCATGTAAAAAGATTTTTTGTAATATTTAATTTTTCATTAAAAACATTTTGTTTAAAGAAATTGTTCGATTTGTCCGGATTTTGGTGACGAACCCTGTATATATGTACGCGATCCTATCGATGATAGCTTAAAAAATTTATTTTTTGAAAAACAGTTGATATAAAAATGCGATTTACGATACTTTTTCTGCAAATATCTCAATTTTCGCAAGTAATATTTGTAATATTTGTTAAATTGCTAGTCAATGTAACTCGTGATATTATTGCGATAGTTTAGTAGAGTTAGGGTTTTCAAGACCGAAAAATCATTTCGGCGTTTCTGAGGATTACGTAGTATATAAATTCACACGAGAATCATACAAGCATTTAAGATCCAGCTAAGGCTTTGATTTCTATAGTTTCTATAGTTTTTTCCAATTTATATCCTCATTTTCATGGTCGACAATAATTGCCAAAAAAGTTTATTTGCAAAATTTTAAAGTCGATGTGCGTTACTGAGTTAATAATACATGATATTTGCTTCCATTTGATACTTGGACTATATTTTTAGGATGAATTCGAGATATACTATAGCAGGCTGGTCCAATTTGAGCTCCGAAGTCAAAACGCAAAGCCATCGACGCAAAAAAATTCAATGTGAGTAAGATTTCGGGGACAAAGTGTTCGGAGTTCAAATTGGACAGGCCTGTACTATAGGAAAGTAGCCGTTGGGACCCGTATATAATGACCGTGTATAGTGCATTTCAGAGGAAATTGTGCAGCTGAACATGTATTCGGAGTAAATTTCATTGTATCTTTGAACAGTGAACTCAGTTCACAATTTACAAAAATTAATGAGAAAAAACTTCTCATCAATATTTAATATTAATAAAAATTTAGTATTAATATTAATATTTTATTTAATATTAATATTTAATATTTTTGTAAATAATAAACTTATCTTTGTTTCGTCTCTTGTATGACTATATTTTTACCTTTTACATAAAATTATTGTAAAGAATACACTAATAAATTCATAATGTCAAATTATATCCAATTTGAGTTATTTTTAATTCTTTCTACAGGTTGCTGTATTCCTACTTAATATGTTGTTAATTTAACTGAAATCATGTACATTTAATCCATATATTGTATAATATAACAATAGATGTATAACTATGGATAACAGCAAATGTACCAATAAATGGATCTTTTTTCGTAATTGTTTCAATGTCCATAAATCAAGATATCTTAAAAAAATTTCTCCGAAATTTCTCCGAACTATTGGTTGTACTATATTCAATAAAAAATCATTTTGTAGATAATTAAATACTCTTTCGATTTTATCATATGTGTTTTGTACATAGGTACAGCTAAATTTGAGATATTTGCAAAGACAAATTAAATTTACGTAACGTTCGAAAATAAGAGATCCTTTTAAAAATCTATCTCGGGAACAATTAGTCGTATAATATTCATTAAAAAATGGAATTGTGGGGAATTTTATCTGCTTTATTTTCGAACTGAACGTTAATTTCCAACGAATAGTTTCTAAGATATTTGCAAAAACCGACATTTTTTCAAGATGGCGCAGTCAGCCATGTCCTCATATATGGGGAGTTTTAATATGATAAAAAGGACACTATTACAGATTTCTATGCACAAATTCAGCTTTGCGGCAATTTTTTCCTTTATATTGCTAAAAATTATCTAGTTTTCCTAGGCTATTTGTAAATGTAAATGAAATACAAGTTCTGAAAGTGAATTTATCTCGTGCTCCTTTAGTTTGTAGCTTAACATTCAATTTTTCACTTGTAAAATCAAGATAAATATGAAGTAAAAATCTAGATCGAATTTGTCGATTATAAGAATCATTTGCTCCCATATGAAACAATGTGTTATTTTGATATATATATATATATATATATTACCTTATTTCTTACAGATAGATATTTGATTGTATTCTGAGAAGAGATAACAAATTTCTTAACTATGTAGTGAGAAGTATTTTAAATGAATTTAGCAAATGTTTAATATGTAGGTAATACAAGAGAAAATAGAGTTAACATATGTTAATATATGTTATTTCTTTTTATAGATGTGCTGTACTTATGTTCCAAAGAGAATTTGCAGAACGCTTGGTAGCTAAACCTGGTGATAAATTATATTGTCGCTTAAGTATTAACACACAATTATTGGCACGAGTAGATATGTTGATGAAAGTTGGAAAGAATAACTTTAGACCTCCACCTAAAGTAGAATCGAATGTAGTGAGAATTGAACCAAGAAATCCACCACCTCCGATTAATTATCAGGAATGGGATGGTCTGACACGGATTGCTTTCGTGAGAAAAAATAAAACGCTGTCTGCAGCTTTCAAACAAACCACAGTTGTTACTATGTTAGAGAAAAATTATAAAATTCATTGTAGTTTGAATAATAAGGTAATTGATACTATCTACACGTTATGTGATACTAAGTCTAGAAATATTGACCAAATGCTTTCTTTACATTATAATATTTCTTATATAATGCAATACTTTATATTGATTAGCATATATTTATAGATTGTATCAGATAATTTTGATATCAAGCAATTGATAGACCATGTATTAGAAAAAGCAGATGCTAAAAATAAACGAGCTAGAACTATGGACATAGATGATTTTATCAGGTAAACAAGTTGATATTAATATAGCAGTTTGTAATGTACAATATATCATCTTTAGTAGATGCACTTGTTCAACATTTAAATCTAAAGTTTATTTCTAGTATTAATTCTCTTTATATTTATATAGATATACGTACACATACGCACGCACACATGCACAATATAAATGTAACATTTAGTTTATATATGTTTAATTATACTTTATGATCGTTCATAGGCACTTTATAAACGCTAAAACAATTACAATTAATGGAAATGTATCCTTTTTCAGCCTGTTACATGCATTCAACGCGGAAGGTGTGCATTTTATATAAATTTATATATTAGGATATATATACTATTTATATGTAAACTAGAGATTTTTATAAATGAAAGATTTTTATGAATATGTAAAATAAATAAGCTTTGTGAAGAAAATAAATTGTTCTATTTTTAAGAAACATTTGTTTCAAAATTAGAATTTTCTCATTATTAGGCAATTCTGAGGCAATTCTTACATAATGTTTTACAGAAATAAAATAAAAAATGATGTGCACATGAAAAACTATTCATGTTGCTTAGATTATTAGCTATAAACACAGACTTATATAAGTTTGTGGCTTAAAGTACGTCGCAGCACATTTTAAAACTATAATGTATATCAGCAAACATACTTGAAGCATTTTGTTTATTATATTAGGTGTTGGAATTAATTCGTAGCGTTTTTAATGAAAGAATGTTATTTATTTCACATGAGCATTAAAAAATACATTAATGAAAGTACTTCCCATCACTTGTAAAACGCTACGAATTAATTCCAACACCTAATAACTTGAAAAATATAAAGAGTCCGAATCTATATTCTGACATTTTTTTGCTTTGAGTTTTAGATTCGCCCATGAAATATTGATATATTTATTAAAAGTTATATTTCTCTCTGCATGACAGATGAAAAATATATAACGTTACACTTAGTATTATTTTATAGTATTATTTTATATTTTTTTTAGTGATTTTTCACAGATATAATATTTTTATTAATCTATTTTTTTATGTTCTTCCTTTTACGTTATAAGCCTCTGGCCTGTGTTACACCTGTCTCGTACGCTTGTGGCGCGCAAGCTGATTATTCAATTGCCACAACATATGGGACCTAATGCTAATTCCGAATGATGGATTTTTCGAGGTGTTTTTGTAGACAAGATTATAATAAAAATACTTTCGAGAGATTGCCTCTTCCGAGAGGAGACACGAGCATAAATATTTTGATTTCTATCAGGATCGAATCCGGGACCTCTGACATGATAGATGATAAACCAGTGTCTTGCTCTTCTATTTTCTATGTTGATATACTTAATTATTATCCAGTTATAACAATCTATATACGTAAATGTTGTATAATACAAATTTACAATAATCTTTACGCACATTGATATTTTTATTTTATTGTAATTTCACATTTTTTATCTTTTCAGTTACATCTCTATTATAAAACAAGATTTGTGTGTTTCTAAAACATCATATTTTAGCTCATTCATTTAAAAACGATATTTTGATAATAAAACATTTTATCATTATGCAAAATGTAATAATTATTACGCAATTATATAAGATATTCATGCATAGCTCCAATTTATGTATAAAATAATCTTTATAATTTTTTATACGCATGTATGAAAAAAATTATTTTTAACTTATAATATTTTTAGTTTTATTGATGTAAACTTCATCCCCATTATATATATTTTATATATACGCACACACACACGCACGCACACACACGCACGCACGCACGCACACACACATACACACGTATATATATAAAATACATATAAGATGCAAATCTTAATTAAAATAATTTACTATAAGTACGCATATTTACAATCTTTGGGATTCCATATAGATCATTATAATATTCCAAAATGCACAAATTGTTCTTTGATCAATATAATTATAATGATATACACACAATACACATATATATGCACAATAACAAATATATATTCTGCATGTATATATCGCTGTGCGCAATGTTATATTCCCATGGAGAGGTAGCGTGATATATAGTACTATTATAGCAACAATTTTTTGTATTAGCGATGCTATGATAAGACAGTATTTTTTGTTGAAATTTGCAATATGCAAATACAAATTTATTTTAATATATACATATTTTATCATAAAGAATAGAGAATAAGACGTTATTTTGTCTTTATTGATATATAAATGGAAATATTTTTGCGCCACAAGTAGGTAATAATAAAATAATATACAAACATTAATTTGTAAGAAAAAGAATAATCCTAATTTAAAATATTGTTGAAATTATATATATAACAAATAATAAGTATTGTATATAATTATATAACAAATAACAATCATAAAATGATCTTAGCATCATGATGGGGAACGTCTACAAACAGAATGGTACAAACTACAATAATATGAAATTAATTTGATTAAATTCTATTTACGTATATTTTATAAAAATTTGAATATCATTTTCTTAAATTAAAATTTATTTTATAGTATTAACTAACACAAAAATCGTATGTGATATTATCCCGAAGTGGAAGAAGATTGAAGACGTCGCTTCTTTTTCTTTGGTCTCGACTTTTTTTCATTTTCGGATTTTCTATATTTAGATTCTTTGCGTGATTTATGTTTTTCTTTACAATCGGAACCGTTACGATCGGAATGTTTCGTGGGATACATGTCATTTTTCGAAGATATAGACATTGTTAAAATTGTACTTGCATTGGATTGCGATAAATTAAATATTCTGCTACTGGATCTATAGCGCTCCTTATCTTTATATTTTTCTTTACGTTTTGATTTTTTCCAATGCGAATAGGATTTATTGGAATAATCACTACACTGACTACAAGATCTTAAACAATCATCTTCCGAGTCTGAAGAATAACAAATTTTCTTTTTTGATTTAGACTTATATTCACTTCTTGACATATCTTTATTTATTGAGGCACTGTCGTCTTGACTTCCAAACTCGTTTGTATTTCGACATTCCCGGTGCTTATGATTCGGCCTTTTATCTCGTTCAGAAGCGTTAGAAGATATACTGTTACTTCTAGATCTAGATTGTCTGTTTTCGCAGCACTTCAGATCTTTATTCTTAGACTTTAACTTTTCCAAATTGAAAGTTTTCTCTTTATTTCTCGTTATTTTTCCACTTTTCACTGTATGATCGTTTGTTATGCTAGAGGAACAATCTCTTTTCGATTTATATTCTCTGTAACACTTCTTGGTTTTCATTTTGTTATCAGTCTCTGTGCTGCTACTGTCACTAGATGAATCCTCATCTGAATAGCTTTCTTCTCTTTTAATAAGTTTTATTCGTCTTGTACCTTTAGCCTGTACTCTATATCTTGGCTTTCTCAATCGTTTTTCATTATATTTCTTTAATAAACTTTCAGATGAGCTGGAATCACTAGAACTGGATATTCTCTTTTTCTTAGATGATTTATTCCGGCTTCCTGTCCCATCTGATCTTTTATACTTTTGTGCTTTTTTCCCTGATTTCTTCGAACGGTTTCGTCTACTTGGTCTCGGATTGTTATCACTGTCAGATAAAACATCAGTACTTGACACTGAGTAAGATGACGAAGATGATTCTTTCGCCTCCTTGACATAAGACGTACTTGGTAATGATGTATTTTCCAAATGTGTTCTTCTTGTAGTTGATCTAGTAATAAAAATATGTAATGACAAATATTAAAAACCGCATATTACAATTATACTTATATTAATGCACATATAAGTAATTTTTAAAGAAATTTTATCAATGTTTAAATGATTAAAAAATTATATGCATTGTGATATGATTTTTTTATAACTTACTGCATATTTCCATTCAATGTATGAGAAAAACACACATGCTCAGTATCAGAAGAAAGTAACTCTATGATTTCTGGTGTTCTTTCATGACGTGGTTTTACGTAACCAATTATTTCACAATCGCCATCTGATTCAGAGGAACTCGATGAAACGATTAACAGTTCTGGTACAGTATTAGATGTTTCTACTCTGTGAAACATCTGTCCTGCTGCACTAGGACCTAAAATGATTATACATGCAATTTTATATGTATATATACATATATATTTTTTTAGTTGAACTGAATTTTGAATAGAATCAAATTGGATACCTCTTCTGTCCAAAATTCAGTCCAACCAAAAAATTTCTTTCTGGACGCAAATTGTACATATGTCTTTCTCAAAAGTATCAGTCTCGACAGTATCAGTGCACTCCTCGCCCTAATGAAGTGAAAAGTAAGATTCAACAAAATGTTGACATTAGCAATGACGATTAAGATACGGCGATAACTCGCAAACCCTTGACATTTTTGAACATCTTCTTCCTTGGCTGATGTTCATGAAATTGGTTCACGAATCTTGAACCATTTGAGTGATTTAAGCATTCTCTATCGGTACTTCGTAAACAATATAAATAGCAATCATTAGGCCCGTCATATTGAATTTCTCAAAAGGCCAGAGTGCTAAAGAAAGTAGACGTGTACCTATGATTTGAGTCCAGAAAGAACTTTTTTGAATAAACTGGAATTTTGGACAGAGGGAGTGTCCGATTTGACAGAGAATGCCCCATATATGGGATGGGGCATTTTAACCCCCTTAGACGGATATCTCAGAAACTAAGAAAGATACATGAAAAAGTTTTTATATAAAAGTTGTAGATGTTTTCTTGGGGGAAAAAAGGTAAAAATAACAGGTTTTGTATATAGGGCATTACCAAGGTTAAATCAAGGTCGTCGATTTTTTTTTTAATGGAACACTATTTTTGATACTGGAATTAAATAATTAGTGTCAAGAGCTTTTTAAAACATTATAAATGAAATTATTTTCCATTAAATACTTTTCAAGTTATAAAGCTTGGAAATTACAGTACTGCCTGCACTACCAAAGGTGTCTAACTCAATATATCCAATCACTAAAACCTCTTGAATGTTATTCAGGATCGTGTCCTGGATAACATTTGTCAAGATCAAGAGCATTAGAGGTTTTTATTTTTATTTTTATGTAAAAATAAATTTTTAATGCAAAAATGAAAATAAGAATAATCTCAAATAGTCTTGATCTTAACAAATGTTATCCAGGACATGATCCTAAATAACATTCAAGAGGTTTTACCCGTCGATTGGACACGTTGAGTAATGTCAGCGGTACTGTAATTTCTAAACTTTGTAACTTGAAAACTTAATGGAAAATAATTTTATTATAATGTTTTGAAAAGCTCTTGACACTAGTTATTAAATTCTGGCATCAAAAATAAGATATTCCATTTTAAAAAAAATCGGTTTGACCTTGAACTAATTTTGGTAATACCCCATATGCAAAGTCTGTTATTTTTATCTTCTTTCCCCCAAGAAAACTTACAACTTTTATATAAAACTTTTTCCTATATCTCTCTTAGTTTTTGAAATATCCGCCTGGAGCGATTAAAATGCCCCATCCTTATATAATTATAATACATATATATAAAAGTTAAAATAGCAAATTTTTTTATTTATGTTCATATGCACATGTTAGATTAAAAATGTAATACAGGATGCGATTTGCCATTTATTTCTTACCTGGCATGCTAATAGGATGTGCCAAGGTATTCGGCATCTCAGCGTTTATTCTCAAATCAATTGCTTCAGCAAGTATTCGTACATCAGAGTTGTCAAAGACAAGACTACTGCTGCTACTGCTACTGCTACTGGATGTAGGTGATTCAATACGAGTTGCATACTCATTTGATAAACCTATAATAGATATGATAATGAACTATGTATTTTGATATTTTTTGCAATTATATAATCCGTATGAATAATTACAAACCACGTGGCAAATAAGTAACAGATTGATCATATCCAACCAAATCAAAGTTGGTTTGGGCAAAATTTAACAATTCGTGTGCAAAATGATCCGTATGTATAGCGAAAAAGGGTCGAACAATATTCCGAAATTCTGGACTTCTAATATCATATTGAGTTAAGGCCTCCATTATTATACTCAACACATAAGCAACATGAGTCGGTTCATTATTAAGTAAAACTTGCAACTCTCTATTTAACCATGGTATAAGACGATCTAATTCTTGTGGTTGTCTTCTGCAATTTAATTGACGAATAAATTTAAATAAATAATTTATTTATGAATAATTATAAAGACATTTTTTAATATTGCATACAAGAATAAATAATAAAAATAAAAAAATATATTAAGAAATTTATTTACCTATAATAATCAGCGCTACATTCACGGAAACGCCCAAATATGTCAGGTAATGAAGTAGCCCATATACCATGCCTATAAACTGTACGACGATAATCTGTAGGATTAGCACGCCTACGTCTACGTTCTTCTCTAGGCACTTGAGGTGCCATACTAGGTAATTGCTCACGTCTTGTAACCTGCTCTGGATTCAATAACACTCCGTGTCGACGACTGCCAGTCATTGTTGTTCTGAGACATTGAATAAAATTATCTTATAAGTATGCAAATTAATAGTGTATACAATTTATTCTTTTGATGTAATCGATAATGTAATTGATAAAACATATTTGTGTTATACATAAATTGTACCTGTAAACAAATCGACGAGGAGCAGATTCCCAATCAACATCAAAGTTGACATCCAAAGTAGCAGTTACTTGTGGCTGAGGAATTTGCGATGCTAATTCACGAGGTACATGATATTGATCATAATCTTCTTCTGATCTTACATTGTGTATAATTGATTTGAATGTTTGCTTGCATAAAGGACATTCTGTCTTAATTTTGGACCATTGAAGTAAGCAAGTAAAACAAAATTGGTGCAGGCAACTGTCTGTGAAAGATGTATTAACTAGTTTTCCCAAACAAATGCTACAATTTGGAGGTGGAGAAGCTGCATCGCTTCGCTCGTTATTATCAGAATTTTGTACGAGAACTTCAGATTTTATAGGCTCCTCCACAACTGCACTGGAGTTCTTTATTTCTAATGGGCCTTCCATTGTTATCTATTATAAATGTCCATTCGTGAAGAAATTTCTATAAAATAAAAAGATATACACATATAAATATACAACAGTAATTTTTTATTCAATAGAATAGATGTAATATTTGAATTAATATTAAAAGATAATAATTTATAAGATAATATTCTTGAGTTTAATATGAACACAATACTAGTTCAATACTGAACAAAATCCAATTATTTTTAAAAAATTAATGAAATTAATGAATAAAATCTATTTTCAACTTAATGTGTGATAGTCGAAATTTATATACAGTATAAAAGATATTACGATTCTTTCACAAATCTTTCAATCAATTTGTATGAATCAGCATATATCTCGTTACATTATAACATTATTTCGTATTCTATTGCGTGTGAAATAGAAAGATAGTAATAGAGATTGACGCTTACAGAGCGTTTTTCATACACAGCATTCGTTTGTGCATCACAAATTTTCTCATTTTATAGTAATGAGACGAAAAATGACTTCAATTCGATATAGAAAATGCTGAATGTTCGATTAGAAATCATATGGAACGATCGTTGGGATACTTGCACTTTGGATAATTACACTCGAAAAATATACTTCTCATAGAGAAGCGCGTTGATGGCAGCTTGGCGTATCGTCGATGTGTTTCTTCACGTCATGCGTCAGTATCTTTTTTTCTTTATGAGCGTTGCTCTCCACCCTTTTGCTTCCTTTATTACCTGCTTTCGTTTCCGGTATTAGGTATTATGCGATATACTGTAGCTGTATATATCTAAAAATCCGCAAATGTTGAGTATTTCAGAATACTCTGTTTCCACCGTGATATCTGTCTACGCGACAAATACGTTCTTACAGTAACCTCCAATAATTTTCTACGGTAAATTCCTTCGAAAAATGCGTGAAACTGCGAGAGCTGTGTAACGCGATGTTCCCCCCAGGCTCGAGAAAAAGCTTTACCACTCGTATTCGACGAGCTGGTACTACTGCGCATGCGTGCATTTTGTCTCATTGTCAGTCTCAATTTCATCTGGGGAAATATAAATTTTTTTTATAGGCTATAAAGTAAACTTTTTAATTGGATTATATTCGCAGAAAAAGGGCGACAATATTCTCGTGTAAGGTTGAGAATTATCTCTTTTTGTACTTTTGAGTTATTTTGTGAGTACTAAAGAATAAAATTAACAAAAGCAATTATTTTATATGGACGTTCAATTATACAATATATATTTAAAGGTAAAAAATAAGTTCACTACGAAAAAAATTTAGTTATACAATATTTATGAATAAAAAAATAAAATTGTAACACATTTAATCATTTATGATTTTATAAATTATGACATAAATAAGTTCTCTTTTTTTACATACATTTTCTTATAATTTATGGATTATTTGAACGTAAAAAAGTCTTTTATTGTTGTACCGATAAATGAGAAAAAATCACTCATTATTTGGAACGGCGATGTGTGTTCTTCGTCGTTCGATGTGATGCAATATATATTTAAAGGTAAAAAATAAGTTCACTACGAAAAAAATTTAGTTATACAATATTTATGAATAAAAAAATAAAATTGTAACACATTTAATCATTTATGATTTTATAAATTATGACATAAATAAGTTCTCTTTTTTTACATACATTTTCTTATAATTTATGGATTATTTGAACGTAAAAAAGTCTTTTATTGTTGTACCGATAAATGAGAAAAAATCACTCATTATTTGGAACGGCGATGTGTGTTCTTCGTCGTTCGATGTGATGGAGCATGAACTTGTTCCATGTATCGTTGTCATTGGAAGAGTCTAAGGAAAAGACCGAATGTTATTTTGATAAACGCGTTTCATAAATATAATTATGTAAAATGCATTTCTATTCACTTTATAATTGTTGTGACTTGATTTTTTTAAGCATCTAGGAGTAGATATAGATTGTGTATTTTTATTTTTACATAATTTCAGTTTTGTATTTTTTACTTGGGGAGAAATATGACCAGGTTTGGAATACTCATTTTGTTTAAATCTTTTGGTAGTAAGAAGTAAACAAATATTAATGCTTTGAGTATCCTCATCCATTTCATTATCCTTTTTAAAGTATATTATATTGGAGGTGTCCAACGATACCTAATATGTAATATAGAAAAATCTGTGTTAGTTCATTATTATATCTCTTAAGATAATCTACCTGTAATACAATCTATCTTCAATCAATTGACATTTTGTGTTAAACATCTCAAAAGTTAATACTAGCAACTTACATATGAAAAATAATATGTTTATACCTGTTCATCTTTTATACATCTTTTTCTTTTAATAGATTTTTTTGGTATATCATCTGATGAAAACTCATTAATATTTTTATGTCTAAGTGGCTTTCTCGAGCTACTTTCTTTTCTCAAAGTTTGTCGACATTCAGTATACTGAAAACAAGATAGTACATAATATATTAATTAGGAAAGCTAAAAGTACCAAGATTATATCTACATTTTTAATAATGTAACAAATACTTTTTTAATAGCATTTTGTATCGATTGTATCCATTCAGCACTATCCGCATTTTCTGAGTACAATAAGAATGTTTCATGCAAACACGTTATACGGAACAATTTTTTGCTCAGAACACAGGTTAAACTGCACTTGTTTAATGGTAGAACGCAAGATATGTTCAGCGATGTCTCTGGTTCACCTTTACAATACAACAGAGTGTCATTTAAAAGAACAAAATATCGTCTATAAGTTGAATTGCCTCGTCTCGAAACACGCATCAATGGTCCTTGTTTGATTAACATTCTACCAGGTTTGACAAGGTTAATAGAAGTAACAATGCATTTCTGAAGATTTAATAATTTTTGTGTTTCTTCATTTTGTGCGATTAAAGTATTTATGTGTTTCGCAGATTTTTCAATTTCAACCAGACATGCTGCAATTAAAATTTAATTAAAATATGCTAAAAATATACATTCAAATACATGTGAATTTTTTGGCGAATCTTAATAATGTACTTACCCTGTAAATGTCGATATTCTCTATGTCTATAAGGAGTATGTTGTAACACTTGTTTAACAAGTAATTGATATCTTGGTACTCTTTGCACTGGTGTAATTAACAACGAAGACAATTTCCTGCCTACTTCTGATCTTGTTTCTTGATCACAAATAAATTTTTTGAAGACAGAATCATTCTCTTCATTTGTCTGAAAAGATAATCTCACAGATAAATTTTAACATCCTTTTTGGATGCACTTTAACAAAAGTATTTTTTTATATTAAAATAATCAATGAAAATATGCACACGTATGTATTTTTGAATAAATATTCATATCAAAATATCTACATCTATAAAATATAAATAAACAAAATAAATTTAATTGTTTTTGGGAGCCGATATAGGATAAAAATAGATAATTTTA